TCACCCAAAAAACACCCCAAAAACACCCCAAAACAGCCAAAATCACCCAAAAAACACCCCAAAAACACCCCAAAACACCCAAAATCACCCCCAAAACACCCCAAAACAGCCAAAATCACCCAAAAAACACCCCAAAACCCCAAAACAGCCAAAATCACCCAAAAAACACCCCAAAAACAGCCAAAAACACCCAAAAAACACCCCAAAAACACCCCAAAACACCCAAAATCACCCCCAAAACACCCCAAAACAGCCAAAATCACCCAAAAAACACCCCAAAAGCCAAAAACACCCCAAAACACCCAAAAACAGCCAAAATCACTCATAAACACCCATAAACACCCCAAAACACCCAAAACCAGCTCAATACACCCCAAAAACCACCCAAAAACCACCTGAAAACACCCCAAAACAGCCGAAACCACCCCAGAATCAGCCCAAAATACCCAAAAATGCCCCAAACCACCCCAAAAATGTCCTTGAAATAACCCTAAAATCACCCCAGGAGTGGCCCTGGTGGCCCTGGGGTGTCCCTGGAGGTGTCCCCAGTGTCCCCCAGGTGTCCCCGGTGTCCCTCAGGTGTCCCCAGTGTCCCCCAGGTGTCCCTGGTGTCCCTCAGGTGTCCCCAGTGTCCCCCAGGTGTCCCTGGTGACCCTGGGGGTGTCCGTGGTGACCCCGGGGTGGCCCTGGAGGTGTCCCCAGTGTCCCTCAGGTGTCCCTGGGGTGTCCCCAAGCCCTGTCCCCCCCTCCCCAGGACCACTGGCTGCTGGACCTGGTGACGCAGGTGGCCCTGGGGGTGTCCCTGGTGGCCCTGGGGGTGTCCCTGGTGTCCCCCAGGTGTCCCTGGTGTCCCCCAGGTGTCCCTGGTGACCCCAGGGTGTCCCTCGGGTGTCCCTGATGGCCCTGGGGGTGTCCGTGGTGACCCCGGGGTGGCCCTGGGGGTGTCCCTGGTGGCCCTCAGGTGTCCCTGGTGACCCCTGGGTGTCCCTCAGGTGTCCCTGGGGTGTCCCTCAGGTGTCCCTGGGGTGTCCCCAAGCCCTGTCCCCCCCTCCCCAGGACCACTGGCTGCTGGACCTGGTGACGCAGGTGGCCCTGGGGGTGTCCGTGGTGGCCCTGGTGGCCTCGGCCGCCACCTTCGCCGTGTGCCGGGCGCTGGGGGAGCCTCGGCGGACGCTGCAGCTGCACCTGAGCCTGAGCCTGCTCGGGGGACACCTGGCGTTCCTGCTGGGCGTGGACGGGGCCCAGAGACCGGTCAGGGGGGACGGGGGGGACCGGGGGGGATTTGGGGGGGATTTGGGGTCATTTGGGGTCATTTTGCTGTTTTGGCTGAGTTTGGCTCCCTGTCCTGCTGTCCCTGTGTGACCCCCTCAGTGCTGCACCTGTGTCACACCTGTGTCACACCTGTGTCACACCTGTGTCATCTGTGTGTCACCTGTGTCACCTGTGTCACACCTGTGTCATCTGTGTGTCACCTGTGTCACCTGTGTCACACCTGTGTCACCTGTGTTACCTGTCTGTGTCACCTGTGTCACACCTGTCACCTGTGTTACCTGTGTGTGTCACCTGTGTCACCTGTCACACCTGTGTGTGTCACCTGTGTCACCTGTCACACCTGTGTTACCCTGTCTGTGTCACCTGTGTCACCTGTGTGTGTCACCTGTGTCACCTGTCACACCTGTGTGTGTCACACCTGTGTGTGTCACACCTGTGTGTCCCCAGGTGCTGTGTGCAGTGACAGCAGCGGTGTTACACCTGTGTTACCTGTCACACCTGTGTGTGTGTCACACCTGTGTGTGTGTCACACCTGTGTGTGTGTCACACCTGTGTGTCACACCTGTGTGTGTGTCACACCTGTGTGTGTGTCACACCTGTGTGTCACACCTGTGTGTCCCCAGGTGCTGTGTGCAGTGACAGCCGCAGTGTTACACCTGTGTTACCTGTCACACCTGTGTGTGTGTCACACCTGTGTGTGTGTCACACCTGTGTGTCACACCTGTGTGTGTGTCACACCTGTGTGTGTGTCACACCTGTGTGTCACACCTGTGTGTCCCCAGGTGCTGTGTGCAGTGACAGCCGCAGTGTTACACCTGTGTCACCTGTCACACCTGTGTGTGTGTCACACCTGTGTGTGTGTCACACCTGTGTGTCACACCTGTGTGTCCCCAGGTGCTGTGTGCAGTGACAGCCGCAGTGTTACACCTGTGTCACCTGTCACACCTGTGTGTGTGTCACACCTGTGTGTGTGTCACACCTGTGTGACCTGTCACACCTGTGTGTGTCACCTGTGTCACCTGTCACACCTGTGTGTGTCACACCTGTGTGTGTCACACCTGTGTGTCCCCAGGTGCTGTGTGCAGTGACAGCCGCGGTGTTACACCTGTGTTACCTGTCACACCTGTGTGTGTGTCACACCTGTGTGTGTGTCACACCTGTGTGTGTGTCACACCTGTGTGTCACACCTGTGTGTGTGTCACACCTGTGTGTCCCCAGGTGCTGTGTGCAGTGACAGCCGCTGTTCTCCACCTGTGTTACCTGTCAGCGTTCTCGTGGATGGCCCTGCAGGGGTTACACCTGTGTGTGTCACACCTGTGTGTGTCACACCTGTGTCACCTGTCACACCTGTGTGTCCCCAGGTGCTGTGTGCAGTGACAGCCGCGGTGTTACACCTGTGTTACCTGTCAGCGTTCTCGTGGATGGCCCTGCAGGGGTTACACCTGTACGTGTTGCTGGTCCAGGTGTTCGTCCCCACCTGGCTGCGCCCGCGGCTGCTGCTGGCCCTGGGCTACGGCCCCCCCGCCCTGCTGGTGGCCCTGGCGGCCGCTGCCTTCCCCCAGGGCTACGGCACCGATCAATAGTGAGTGATCAATAACTGATCAATAACCCATAGTGATCTATAGTGATCAATAGTGATCAATAACCCATAGTGATCAATAGTGAGTGACCAATAACTGATCAATAACCCATAGTGATTTATAGTGATCAATAGTGATCAATAGTGATCAATAGTGATCAATAACCCATAGTGATCAATAGTGATCAATAGTGATCAATAACCCATAGTGATCAATAGTGATCAATGGTGATCAATAACCCGTAGTGATCAATAGTGATCAATAGTGATCAATAACTGATCAATAACCCACAGTGAGCCATAGTGATCAATAGTGATCAATAACCCGTAGTGATCAATAGTGATCAATAACTGATAGTGATCAATAATTGATAGTGATCAGTAACTGATCAATAACCCGCAGTGATCCATAGTGATCAATAGCGATCAGTAACCCATAGTGATCAATAGTGATCAATAACTGATAGTGATCGATAACTGATAGTGATCAATAAGTGATCAATAAGTGATCAATAACTGATAGTGATCAATAATAGTCCCCCCCAGTTGACCCCAGTCCCGTTCCAGTTGCTGGCTGTCTCTGGAGCGCGGCTTCCGCTGGAGCTTCCAGGGCCCCGTCATCGTCATCACCGCGGTGAGAGAGCCTGGGGACACCTGGGGACACCTGGGGACACCTGGGGACACCTGGGGACACCAAAAACACACCTGGGGACACCTGGGGACACCAAAAACACACCTGGGGACACCTGGGGACACCTGGGGACTCCTGGGGACACCTGGGGACACCCAAAACACACCTGGGGACACCTGGGGCCACCTCGGGCCCCCCCG